TTTGTCAATACCCCCAACAGCTGTTTTTCGAGGCATCCGGTCAGGGCCATTCCAAATAAATTTAAAAATCAAACTGTTTATCTTTTTCAAAACATCCATCTGAGGTTCAGAGAGATTCATCACATACAAAACTCTAGAAATTCCCAAAGCTTTAATTATTTGAACTTTACCTAGTAGGGTCAAATTTCTCATTTTCCAGAAATTTAAAGACCTATTAAGAGACTCCAAAGGGGCTGCCATATTCATTTTGTCTGCCAGCTTCTGGTTATAAGCGATATAGATCCCAACAACTTTTATTGGTACAGTTGGCCATTTTACCTGAAGTGGTTTGTCTTTTCTGTTTCGCCACCTACCCAACCACAAAGCCTCACTTTTTTCTTTATTAACCCCCAATCCTGAAATAATTTTAAAATGCTTTAATTTTTCAAATAACCTTTGGGCAGATGGCAGGTTCCTAACAAAGCAAGTTAGATCGTCTGCATATGCTACTCCTTTAATCTCCCCTTGATTTGGCACTTCAAATCCTTTGATGTCTGGATCAGCTCGTAGTGAACACATAAATATCTCTAGAGCCAGAATAAAAAGCATTGGTGACACAGGGTCACCCTGCCTGACCCTCCTTCCCAAGAGGAAGTACCCGGTGCTGGTTCCCTTGTTCATGACACAGCTAGTAATGTTTGTGTACAGAACTCTAACCCATTCCCTAAAATTTGGACCAAATTTAAATGTTTTCAGTGTCTCGTGAATAAAGTGCCATTCCACTGTATCAAATGCTTTTTCTAGCTCAGAGACATGTCCCTCAGCTCAGACATGTCCAGATATGTTTTTCAGTTCACATACATGTCCCCCGGCTCACAGACATGGCCCTCAGCTCAGACATGTCCCTCAGCTCACAGCCGTGTCCCTCAGCTATCAGACTTGTCCCTCAGCTCACAGACGTGTGCCTCAGCTCACAGACTTGTCCCTCAGCTCACAGACTTGTCCCTCAGCTCACAGACGTGTGCCTCAGCTCACAGACATGTGCCTCAGCTCACAGACGTGTCCCTCAGCTCACAGACGTGTCCCTCTGCTCACGGTCTGTTTATTTCCTGTGTACAGGTAGAAAGAAAAAGACATCTAGTAAACAAAAACATAAAGAGGATGATGATGAAAGTGATGCTGATGTTGCTATGGAGTCTAATGAGGAGGAAGAAGCGGAATCTAAAGATGGTGATGATAATGAGGAGGAAGATGTGGAAATTAATACCATTTTGGGTAAACCCACACGGTCTGGAAGACAGCCAAAAATTGTTAAATCATTTACAGTAAATACAGAGTGCCTTGGACGGAAACGTAGAGGTCGTGCCAAGGATATTCCCCAGGGCAGCATATTAGCAGTACCTACACTGCAGACACAAAAAACTGCTAATGAATTTGATAAATATGCTTCACCGTCGGTTGCCAGTGATACTAGTGACTCACACAAGGAGAAACAGGATACTCCTACAGTTCATAAAGAAACAATAAATGATGCGCAAACACCGGGAAGTGATACTCAGGGTAGCCTTGTTGCGGCAGGCGAAAACATTGTGATTATTCATAACCCTGGTTCTGGCAGCAGCAGAAATATCGTTATTGTGCACACGCCAAATGCCCGAAATGCCGCTAGTGCATTGGTCACATCACCGGATATAGCTGCAGCAGGAATAGAGACTACCCCTCTGTCAGGTATGAAAGTAACTCAGCTGATGGTTAATGATGTGCAACAGATACAAGCTTCAAATCATGGAAGCCAAATTGATGAAGTTATAAACAATAATGCTGATGTTAGTAAAATAACTGTTGATAATGAGACTACTGTTGTTGACTCATTGGATAACTGTGCAGTCATTGAGTCATTAGTCAACAGTGGTGTCATTGAATCATTGAGTAATAAAAGAACTAGTGAAAGTGTTGTCACTGATGATGGAGTCATTGACACATTAGACAGTGGTGAAATCATTACACCGTCTGAATGCAGTGAAATTATCGAGGTTGAGGACAATCTGATTGAGGTGGAAGATGTTGAGACTAGTGACATCATTGAATCATCGGATGAATTCATGGGTGCCGAAGCAGTGGTGGAGATAAACGCTAGTCAGCATGTCAGTCGGGGTATAATGATGACAGCAACTTCATTGCCGTTCATTCCACCCACAGTCCCAGTCACTACATCTTCCTCAATCACTAACGTTATCAATATGAATATCAAGGACCACACGGATTAATATTGTATGTAATACAAAAATAAAATAAAATCACCTCTTGCTTTGAGTGGATATCACAAGCTGATATTACCGCATATTTTTTTTATTTTAATAATGTCATAATACTGGTCTCACTGTCTCATTGTGCATGTGTATTTCTTTTCTATTCTGTCATTACTAAATGAAACTATTTATATTTATTTGTACTCAAAAATATTTGGCAGCTTATTTGATATTGTTTAAATCTACATTCTCTTCTTGAAATGTTGACATCTCCTTCATACTCATCTTAACATTTCTGTACACATCATTGTTGATCTGATTGGAAAGATTTGGTTAATATAAGTTTTTCTCAAATCACAGAAAATTGTGAAAAATATGAGAATTTCAGAAATACAATTCTGTTATTATAAAGTGTCTACTATTTAATGCTCGTGAACTTTGTTTGAATTAACATTTTCTTACATGCAAGTTGCATGACATTAGGTGAGAAGATCTGTTGAAACTATTTCATCAGTGTTTTAAGTCTGCAAACACACAATTGTGATTGAATGGAAGGTAGTTTTAATTTAAGGACGTTTTCTATGTTTAGAAATAGACTCCAAACTAGAATAACACACAGTAAGTGAAAAATTATGTCAATTCAGATGATTTTGCCTATATCAACCTGGCCATTATGTCAATTCAGACAATTTTGCATATATCAACCTGGCCATTATGTCAATTCAGATGATTTTGCCTATATCAACCTGGCCAATTTGTCAATTCAGACGATTTTGCATATATCCACCTGGCCATTATGTCAATTCAGATGATTTTGCATATATCAACCTGGCCATTATGTCAATTCAGACAATTTTGCCTATATCAACCTGGCCATTATGTCAATTCAGACAATTTTGCCTATATCAACCTGACCATTATGTCAATTCAGACAATTTTGCCTATATCAACCTGGCCATTATGTCAATTCAGATGATTTTGCCTATATCAACCTGGCCAATTTGTCAATTCAGACGATTTTGCATATATCCACCTGGCCATTATGTCAATTCAGATGATTTTGCATATATCAACCTGGCCATTATGTCAATTCAGACAATTTTGCCTATATCAACCTGACCATTATGTCAATTCAGACAATTTTGCCTATATCAACCTGGCCATTATGTCAATTCAGACAATTTTGCCTATATCAACTTGACCATTATGTCAATTGAGACGATTTTGCATATATCAACCTGACCATTATGTCAATTGAGACGATTTTGCATATATCAACCTCGGCCATTATGTCAATTCAGACAATTTTGCATATATCAACCTGACCATTATGTCAATTGGGACAATTTTGCATATATGCACCTGGCCATTATGTCAATTCAGACAATTTTGTCTATATCAACCTGACCATTATGTCAATTCAGACAATTTTGCATATATCCACCTGACCATTATGTCAATTCAGACAATTTTGCATATATCCACCTGGCCATTATGTCAATTCAGACGATTTTGCATATATCCACCTGGCCATTATGTCAATTCAGATGATTTTGCATATATCAACCTGGCC